TTCCTGCTGGCAATGTATAAGTGATCCAGTTTCTCCACATCCTTGCCAACATTGTGTTGTCACTATTTTTTTCTTTTAGCCATTCTGATAGACGTGTATTGATATCATGGTTTCAGTTTTCATTTCCCTGATTTCTAACAATGCTGAACATCTTTTCATGTGTTCGTTTGCCATCTGTATATCCTCTTTGATGAAATTTCTCTTCATGTGATTTGTCCATTTTCTAATTGGACTATTTGTCTTTGCGCTGCTGAGTTTTGAGAGTTTATATATTCTATTGATAGATACTAGTTTTTTGTCAGATATATACTTTGTACATATTTTCTTCCTGTCCGTAACTGGTCTTTTCATCTCTCCACATGGGCTTTAACAGAGCAAGTGTTTAATTTTGATGAGGTCCAAATTATCAATTTTTCCTTTTATGCACTGAGCTTTTGGTGTCAGTTAAGAGCTCTAAGAATTCTGTGCTCAGCCCTGATAATTTTATATGTTTTTTCCCCAAAGTTTCATAGCTTTACATTTACTTTTAAGTCTACAATACAGTTTGAATAAATTTTTGTATAAAATGTGAGATTTAAGTTTTTGTTTGTTTTGTTTGCTTATTTTCACCTACAAATGTCAATTGCTCCAGCACTATTTGTGGAACAGACAATCCTTCCTCCATTGAATCACACCTTTGTCAAAAATCCTTTGAGCATATTGTGCAGATCTATTTCTAAATTCTCTATTCTGCTTCATTCATCTGTGTTTATCCCTCTGGCAATACCACACTGTTTTGATTACTTTATCTACATAGAACCTTTGATATCACGCAGAGGAATTCCTCCCACTTCTTCTTTGTCAAGATTATTTTAGCTATTTTAGGCCCTGTGCCTATTATAAAATTTTGAATAAGCTTGTCTATGTCTTCAAAAATCCTTGCTGGGATTTTGATAGGAATTACATTAAACCTATTGATCAATTTTGGGAGAACCGACATCTTTAATATGTTGAGACTTCCAATCCATTAACACAGTATGTCTCACCATTTTTTTATGTATTCTTTGATTTTCTTCATCTGCATTTTGTAAGTTTCAGCGCACAGATCTGAAAACTATGTTTTGTTTACTGTATACCAA